AGAGCTCTGGAGTTCCAGCTCCACTGAATGTTCCTGACATTTTTTGTACTTGGTTTTGTCTTGAAAGCCTTTCACTACTTTCTGTCGGATGTCCAAGGATGCAGATTATCTGGTATTGCCCCTGATGATTCAAGTAATCCAGTTTCAAAACACAACAAAACAAAAAGGAAAATATCAAAGTCTGGCAGAGGCTTTGCACACCACACTGCCATGAAAATGTCTTCTTTTTTTTTTTTAAATGTTGTCTCACTTCATGATTTTAGTTTCTCTGTTTAAAACAGTTCATAGTTTTTGTTCCCATTTGTGTAAAACTCGGCTTTAGAGTATAAACCTCTGCTGGTCTCCTTATTGCTCCTATCATACGTAAAGATTTGAGTAATTTGCCTCAAAGCACAGTGGGTCCAGTCATGGTTCCTTGCATGGTGGATGGGAGCCCCAAGTACCTTGGCTGTGAGCACGAACAGTCGTCACACTGCTCTGAGCGCTCCCAACCGGGGGAAATGCTGGGGATGAGAGCAAGGCTTAACCCAGCATCTACAGTGTCTTACTGGAGGCTGCAGAAAAGGTTAGTTTTTCATTCAGAAGCCGTAACTTCAGAGTACCTTAGCTCTCTGATATAAATCAAGAGTGCAGAAAGGTTTGTGGAAAACTGATCACTTTTTTTTATTGGCTGAGCAGAAAAATAAGATTCAAAAAAATCATTGCAGGTCAGTCTGAAGTAAACAATTTTTTTTTTTTTTTTGTCTTTGTTCTTCATATTGGATTTGGGTTTTGTTGTGGGTTTTGTTTGTTTTTTTTTTTTGTAGGAGAGGTGTTTCTTTTTCAAGCCTTGAGTGAAGTTTGAAAGCATAAACCAAAATCCACCACGGTAAAGCAAAACATTTTATTTTGTCTTCAAGTCACTGTTTTTTCCTGAATTGATTGAACACAACTGGTTTTAGTCATAGCCAAAGAAATTTCAAAAGGAATTGTCTTTTCAAATTGAAAACATCTAGCACCTGTTTCAAAATGATAAAAACCTATTTAAAAATATCATGTTCTGCCTGAACAAAACAAATCCCCCCCAAAATCAGTGCAAAATGTCCGAAATATCCTGGCTCCACCCGGGAGTCTCATCTCTGGTTAAAGAGGTTTCTGCTGCAATCCTTCACCCCATTAGTCCATTTAGAGTAAGGGAGACCAAACCCTTAACTCATCACCAAACACAGTCTGATTTCCATGACGTCATGGCCTACTCATTAACGCTTGCAGGCTGCAAGATGAAGGGCAGAAGCTGTTTATCCAGAGCCACCTCAAAACTTCTCAGCAACGTAGGCAAAGCTGAGTTTTGTCCCTGCAAGAAGAAAAGCGAGCAAGGCCAGGCTGGGCTGTTCTTGCAATAGGAAGGGGATGGGTAGGAAGCAAGGGCTGGGGGAGATCTGGAATGCCGATCTTCTCGCTTCTCCTGCCTCTAAGGAAATGGCAGGGCCAGAAAGGGTCTTCTCTCTCCCCAGCAGTGCCACTTCCCTACACACACCAAACCCTCCTCCTGAGGCAGCAACGGCAAGCCAGATAACAACTTCACCGCTGTCTACGACCAGCTGGAAAACAGAGCATGTTACCCCTAAAGAGAGTGACTTTCTCTTTCTCTTTCCATTTTAAATATGGAAGGAGGCAAGGACAGGAACAGGCTGTATATAACACCAAAGCTCTCAGAGGTCACTCTTGCACATCTTTTATTCAAGCAAGCACACATCCACACAACCTCGCTTTGGCTTTTAGGTGCTGTTAGAGCACCAGCCACACAGTATAGGGAACCTTAAAGTTTTCTTCCTGATGAGGTCCAACTCTATGCATCCAGAGAAATAACTAAAACGCGGTGGCAGCTTATGATCAACTCACTTCTCATGTCTCCCTTGCTCCTGCTGCATGGATTCAGTGTGGGCACGTCCAACCAGGTGGCTGGGGATGTCACCATACATTGTGACACACATTGTGTATTTTAGGATGAGCCTGACCTCCTTTTATTTCTGTTCCTATCTCCTTACATGTTTGCACAATTCACAAGCATTCAAAAGCAGCAAGAAATAAAAACAAGGGGATTCAGGGAAAGAAGTACACAATGGGAAAGACTAAGAGAGAACACCACCAAAGATAAGCAGAACTTCCCAAGATTTCTCTTGAGGATTTCATTCCCTGTTACATTACCTAGAATAGCTATTTAAGGCCTCCATGCTTCATGGTATGGACCAACCAGCAGCATTCCTTGCTTAGGAAGAGATGTCATCCCCATTGGTGTGTCAGTACCAATTGTAACTGCTTTTACTCTTACATTGAAGCATTTGTGTTGGCCACTGCTGGAGATGAGTCGACAACCACTGGCTTCTAAACGGCAATATCTGCTGCTATCTTGTCTGATTAGAATTAAGAAGTACCTCGATTTTATGGGTACTACTGGCTCTAGCAGGACAGACAAACCAAAAAATGCAAACTTTCCCCTTTACTAACAAAGAGTCCCAGAACCTCTTTTTCAAGAACAAATAGTCAAATCCTTTCTTTGAACAAAGATGACAGCTCCTTCAAGCTACTCAGTAACTGCCCATTGTGGCTCTAAGACACTTAATTTTCCTCAAACCTAGACTCTTAATCAATCATATTATATATTATATAAATCAACCAACATAATCAGAGCCAAGATAGAAAACATTCTTTGCACATTTCCCCCCTAGCAAGCACTGTCAAAGCTGAGACAATAACATTCTGCTAATTTGCCAATAATTTATACAGAGACACCACTAAAATGTGCTTAATCCTCAAAGAGATTTGGTTGCTTGACTCCTGATTTCAAAGAAAAGCATGCAAATGCAGCAATAAAATGCATTCCGTTTAATCAAGTGAACACATAACAGACTGATTCACATTGTTTTACGGCGTCAAATAACAGCTTCTGATGTGATTCCATGTGGGAGAAAAGGGGAAGGTTGCTGTAAGTATATTTTGGCAGAGTACTAGAAGAGGTCACAGACAGCTGATTTCTTAATGAAGTGTTAAAGGCTTCCAAAATTTGCCTCTTATGGGAAAATGGAAACTTCCCCTCTCTACTATATCTTTAACAGAAAGAAAAGAATAGCAGAAGTCAGCTAAAATATACCAGGTTTAACTTGCTTAATTGTTGGAAAATGTGATTTTCTTATTTTGAGGTAAATAAAGTCTACAGTATTGGTTTGAATCCCACTATGTTAGCACTGCACCAGATTTGCTATTAGAATGACTGAAAGAATTTTCAACAATATCATGACAAACCATTTGGAAGCAGAGCTGAGAAGGGTCATACAGCAAAGTCTGTCAGAGCTGACAAAAAATTTCCACTCTCTACTTTATTTGGAAATAACAGGGAAAGAGAAGGGAACCAAACAAACCCTCTGTGGTATTAAGTCAAATTAAATATAGTTCATAAAAATTAAGGCATTTTGACATTTCAGAGGTATGGGTCCAGTGTTGAAAGAAGAAATTATGTTCTGGAGAATGAACTGTAATTATGGCTTGGAAAACATGAGGACACAGAAGGGAAAAAATTAAAGGAGAAGTAGACAGATGCAGTTTGATGGCAGTGAAAAGCTCTAGCCACCACTGCAGACCTGCAATGTTCAGGAAAGGCTGCAGTTCCACCAAACATCTCAAGTCCAAAGTTTCAAATATATTTTCACTTTATTTTATGAATGCCCATCAGATATATATCTTTGATGCTACAGCACACTAGTTGAATAAAAATCAACAACATAAAAACCCTCTTCATAAAAGATCCAAGAAGTGAAATCCCAAAGCCATAACCATTTACTCCGTGAGCATATCATCTTTGACAACCATATATAAATGACATCATGACAACAAATACAATGTACAATAATAAGTGTGCAATGGTACAAAATATACAAAAAGGAATGTGTATTTAATATACATTCAACAATATCCCATAAAAACCTTTGTTGGGAAAGTGAAGTGCCTTTTCAAGAACAACAAAAAATGTACATCACTTCAGTTAAGATGTCTGAAGTATCTCCCATCAAAAGAGTAAAGCCTGTGTTCTTTGACTGGAGATATAAAATAACTGAGCTGAATTTTCCCTAGAGAAAAAAAATCATCTAAACTTCATAAAATTTTTGTCCACACCTATAGTATAATAAAATATTTAGAGTGCAGAAAATTCAGTTTAATTTAAATTTTACTTAAAAGCGGGCCCTCTTTTATTGATAGATCTAGCTCAGTCATATAAAATCAAAAATCTATATTCCTTATAGTAAAAAGACCATTTCTGCCCATGTGTCTTTTCTGCTTTTGATGCATTCCACAATTCACATAATTTTGCTATAATGGAAATATGAGTCTGACCAGAGGTCAATACAAGAATCATTCCTCATTTTCTCCTGTCTCTATACAAGTCTTGCATAATTTTACTCAAATATTTTTTGCCTAAGTTTCAGATTCCTTTGAGTTTGACCTCAATGGGAATTTCAGGAAATTTTTACAGTGGGTATTATGAAGATCACATGCTTATAATGTGGCTGATTTCATGAAAAAGTCCATCTAACCACCAGTTTTCAAGGCACCATTTTGTGCCCTTCTTCCAAAGCAGGTACTTGCATTGACAGCAGAAAGCATTTAGATGCTGAGCTGTGCAAGTACGTAACCCATGTTCAGCTCTGCTGGGCATCCATCCTTGTTCTTTGCATGGGTCCAGGAACAGAGATGGCTGAGTATTTCTAATAAGCCTCCCAACTGACAAAGCCAACCCCTGATTTCCAGAAGTAGAGATTCTTGCTCTACCTCCAGAGTTCTGGTTCTGTTGGCTTGCAACCCAGGGAAAGGTGACGTATTGGCAGCCCAAGGGAGGGGGCTGAAACTGCCAACGACCTCTCTTGAAAGGACAAGCTTCCACAGAGAGGGACAAGTGCAACTTGCACTGTAGGTATCACTTTCCTTCTCTTTATAGAGTTTGAGCCTGCTACTGCCTATAAACTCATGGGCCCAGACCTACAATTCATACAACAGCAGTTAACACATTTAAACTGAATAGCACCAGCTTTTACCCCAGCCCTGATGGCCATGACTTAGGCATCAGAACAGGTTCAACTTGCAGGTGCAACACCATGCCTCTTGTGTTAGAAGCCAACACAGACCATCCAGCCCTTCAAAGCACTAAAATCAAAAGTATTTTCCAAAGATCAAAACTCACCTGAGGCTCATTTCGAGTACCATTCACAATTCTGATTTTAAGAGAGACTCAGTTATGCTACTAACGGACAATACACAACTTTTGCAGGAGGTTTCAGGCCTCTCTGAAAATCATTTCTTATGAATAAGTGTAGAAGGAGTGATAGGAAATGAAAGGTACCTATAAATCATATGGCATGCCTGAGCGATGCCCAGGTGAATCCAAAAAATTCATGTTATTTGCAGTATGTATATCTCTTCCTGAGTTGAATTTCATTCCCAGTATGGAATCCAAGCGTCTGCTTTCTTTTTTGGCAAGGTACTCAATCACATGGTAAGGCAATCCAATTTTCTGGTTTGCTCCCTGTCTTCTTTCCTCCTAAATGGCCAAGCATTTCTCACCAAGATCACCACTACAATGTGTGCCAGAATATGTTTAAAATATGGTCCTGTAAAAATAGAAATTAGGTTTGTTTCTTTGAAGGCAGCATTAATTCTTCATATATTCTGGGCTCTTGAAGATTTCAGCTGAACAGATTCAAAATGATCTTCCTTCTCCTGCAATGGAACAGACAGGTTCCCATCAACTGGGATTCCTCAAATTCGCTCCAACAGTTACTACAGTCACTTCTTCTGTTAATATCTCCAGAGCAGCTTTTGCAAAAGACTTCCCTTTATTTCTACCACAGTCATTAAGTGCACATTTTGACCCTTTATTATTTAATAACACTATTAATTCTGTAAAAATTTGCAAAATCAATAAAATTATGCCATATATATTGTTCATGGTACTTACTTTGGAGGGTACAGGGCAAGTTTGCATTTCATAGTCATAGTATAGGACAGGTAGTCAGAGCTGGGGAATTGCAAGGTAATCATATCTATGGTTATTATTACTTATTAACGTGTTTCCTACAGCAAATAAAATGTTTGGCCCAAAGTCTCTGAATGTGAACACCACTGCCTCACTCCTGGATTCCCATCCCAGCTCCTCCTCTGGGACACCCACAGGACAAAAAGAGTCTACAAATCCTCTGCCATCCTAAAAATCAGGGCTGAAGGGTTGAGTTTTCTTTCTGTTTTTATTTGCTGGGTGACAGACTAGGCCATCTGGCTGGCAGGCATCAGGGTGAGAAGTGTGGACGTACGTGTTACTCTGTTTGTATGAACAACCCAATGGTCCTTGCAGAAGCAATGAATGAAGGATATATAAAACTACTAAATAAATAAAACTACTCACTAGAAAATGCTGGTTCTTGCTTCATGTACCTACTTTTTACACTTGCTGATGTACACAGACAGTTTGGAAACTATGTTAAACTAACCTCATGATCTGATCTTCAAAGCCATCTCACTCAGATCAGGACAGCCTAGTGCAGATGTGAGAGAGAGCAGGGGAGAAAACTGTCCTACTCTAGCCTACTGCAGAGTATATATTTCTTGTTCTGATGGACCCGGTATTGTTATGCTGGAGACGACAGATGGAACTAGAACAGCCTCCAGTCTGAAGCAGTTTCATAATTCTTTAACTTCTATATTCTCATTAAAAATAACAGTCATTTCTTTCTGTATTACAGGCCTAGCCCTGAATTCCTTGGGTACTCAAAAGCACTAATAGCTTCATGAGATGTTTTGCTTCATAGAAATGCCATTGCCTGAAGCTTGAATATACAGTTAGGATACCTCAGATTTTTTTTCTCTCTCAGTTTACATTTCTCCTCTTTTACTCCCCTGTTTTCCTCCATAGATTTTTTCCATATTTTACATGCATATGCAGCAGGACATGAATTTCCTCTTCTTTTGCATAAATGAAAACTGATGTCTATAACATTTGTTTTGGAGAAATATATATTAAATTCCGGTTATCTGCAGGGATACAGGACACAGATTTCAGTAAGCTAATGAGGTACTGGAAGCTCAGTTTGCCAGCTATGATTATCTAGCAGGAAAAAAGGAACCAGCTTAGAAATATCTGACAGGCTTGTTTAAGAAGGAGAGAATACTTAGGGAGCCTCCTACAATGGATATAGGAACTTTAAAAAACTCTTTTTGAGTCCAAATAGGCATTCAGGTGGTCTGAATACTAAAGTATTAAAGCTTACTTTAAAGAGAAAAAAAAAAAACACTTCTCCCATGCTCTCGTCTCTATACTTCTAATCAGGAAGGAGCCAGTGGTTGATGCTGCAAATGGAGTCAGCAAAGCTCTTACACTTATCAGGCGTACAGCAAAACATAACGCTCACCAGCAGCACTGGTCATTACACTCAGTCACAGCCAGCCAAGCCATTTCGCGGACAAAAAACCATCATCAGTATTTCAAAGTCAGTCCCCACAGGATTCAAAAATGGAATCAACCTCCATTTTCGCAACACCACTACAAAATTTGATGTGATTTGATTTTATTTACATTTTCAACGTTCTTAATATTGAATTAAGAATTAATATTGAATTTCTGCCCCTTTCCACAAGGAACAATATCGATTTTGCAAGACAAATGGTCAGGCTGGGGTCAAGGGGAAGTTCCGCATGTTAGCTGTGTAATGGTAACTTCTCCTAGGAGGGAGATCTAGGGAGCAGGTAGCGTGGAAAGAGGACAGCAGTCCGATAAAAAAAAGTAAAAGAACAAAGAGAGGAGAAAAATAAGGGAAAAGAAAGGAGGTACACAGGTTTTAATTATATTGCACTCAATCACAGAAAGGAAAAAAAATGAATACAAGAAAAAAAAATCTCAAAATTCAACATTCTGAAATTCTTTGGACAAGAAACAAGAGAGTGACTTTTTAAAATAAATTTGTATTGTGATCTTTTGAGAAACCTTCCTATTTTGAAACAACCTACTTCAGCAAAACTATTTGAAAGGGAAAATGTCATCCACCTTTATCCTGATCATAACAGATGTCCCAGCTGGACTCCCTTAAAGACAGCACTACCATTCCCATAGACTTTAAGGCATTTAGAATAAAGACCAAAGTGCTTGCAGGATCTACCATGATGGTCTTCTGTTGCTCCTCTCAGAAACATTCAAAGGACACCAAAGACCTTCATGCTATGAATTGAGACATGCAACAACCCATATCACATGTGCTGCAGAAAAAAATGCTTTTTGCTGTTGCTTCCCACTGAAATGGAGGAGGTTGCTGTGTTGAGTAACAGGCTGTGGCTGATGCCTCCTCTTCAACTGAATCTTGTAGTGCTCAAAATTATGGTTCTCAAGTTAGCCATGAAGCCAGCCCAGGTGAGCTGCAAGCAGCTGGCTGGTGGCTATATTCCCAATGTTAATTTTCTATATCTATAATAGCTGTGTTTGCCTCAGCAATGGAGGTGTCTGATAGGAATCCAGGCAGAGAGGTTCCTCCCGCCATTAACTGCTCTTTTTAGGTATCACCCGTACAATACAGAATGCTACTGAAATCTCTTTGCAGAAGAGGAAGCATTTACTCAATATCCTGAAACATTTCTTACCATTATCCACATTGTGGATTTCAGCAGATTGACTATGGGCTGGGTGAAGTGTGCGTGGGAGGCTGCACAAAGCAGTGTGCAAATTAGCATCAGAGCCTCATCACGTCCAGTAATAAATAAAGATAATAATTATTTTTAGTATTAATAGTAGTAATTACTACTCACCTTCGTTGCCAAGGACTTGAGCTTCCCCAGCAGTGACTGCTTATTTGAATATACTATTTCTTCTTCATTATCTTCTCCTTCCATTATAGCACAGCTGTCAGCAGCTGGCAGCTCACACTCTTTTGAGTTCGTTGTCATCACTAATTTGGAATATTTATACTCCAGTCTGAAGATATAAAGACAGACAGGCACAAATTTTTTTACAAATCTCCCATATTCAAGGTTTTTGTAATTTAGATTATCTGCAGTCCTTCCACATAGTTACTTCTGAGGTATTTACTGGAAATTAGATACTTTTCAATCATTAAAAACATGTAACCAAAATAGTATTAACAATACTTTGAGCTCCTGCTCTCTTAGATTAGGCCTCTATCCTTATAAAAGATCCATGTTTTCCCAAAAGACCACAAGTAGGTCAAGAGGATTTCCTGCATGAAGAAGTGTGACCTGTGTGCTGGTTGGGGCAATAGCAGGTCAGACTTCAGCCTGTTATCAGAATCTGCATCACACTCCTGTCCAACGAGGCTACGGGGGAGAGGAGAGATGTGTAACAGTGTGTGGTAGGAGGCAGCAAGAAGTGGGGACCGTGATACTGGAGTCAGGATTTCGTGAAGCTGGATGTGTTATGGGGCGATGAAATCCCATGGAGATGGAATCACGTTTTGAAAGTTTATGGCATGAGATGTGGGAAGCAGAGAACTATGGGTATGGCGAACAGTCAGTATGTTCAGCCTAAGAAGCAGGGATCTTTTGGGTGTGTACCTGACATGTCCCACCAAAGTAGACCTAAGCAATATACAGTCAAGAACCTTATTTTAATCCAGCTGAAAGGGACTAATTAGACTGAAGAGGTATCCTTTTGGTTTTCAGACCTTGAGAAAGCCCTGTTGCTTCAGGACCTAAGGTCAACTTCAGACTCTCAGGGGTTAAAAAGACAGTTCCTGTTGGGAAATTATGCCACAACAAATTACTGTGGATTTTCTATACTTTCTTCACTAGCATTTTTGATAGCCACTGTTGGCAGAAGAAACCTCAACGTGGTGGATTAACGGACTGATCCAACATGGTATTTCTCATCAACATTGTCATAAGGTCAGTTCCACCAAATGTCTTTCTGTTCACTCCCTCAAACTTTTAGCTTGCTTTTATATGGAACACAAGTTGCAGTACTTACTTCTGGTTCTTCTTCCAAAAATAGCAGGTCAAGGCTATGAGTAGAACAGCTGTGAAAGCACCAACACCAGCTCCAACTTTTAGCCAAAAATCCACTGTTTCACAAGTGCTGGTCCTTTTTTCTGGCAAGGGAACCCCTTTAATGCAATGCTTTGGTTCATTCCATACATACAAGGTTTCCTTTCAAACGGAAAACAAATATCAAAAAGTGAGCTGCTTGTAGAAAAAGAGAAGAACTATTCAGAGGTAGGCTGTTTTGAGGTAGAAAGGTTAGACATCTTTTCAATGAAAGGAAACCAAACCATGTACTTCAGGTTTTCAGACTCTAGGTGGAGTGATATTGTCTACTCAACTGTCCCCTTGATTGTGCCTGCAGGTTCAGACCTGGCAAAAGGATTTCCTCTTCTGTATTGCTCTTCACCTGGCACAATATGGGTTGGACAGCGATTGTGAATGTGCTGTGCCTGCATTGGAGCTTTGATCAACAGGACAGTTCTGAACCTGTGAAAGGACTTCCTACTGTTTGACTAGAGAAGGCAGCAGCAAAAAAATTGCAAGCAAGGAAGGATGAATTTCTGAACTGAAATTCTGAATCCTTTCCTAGCCTGGCCCTGAATATGGCTGTTAAAAGATTGAAGTCCTTTGGGCACTCCATCCTTCACAAATAACTTGCCTGCATGTATGAATGCATACAGAGTTCACGTCCCTACCCACATAGCTGCTCAGCACAAGCCAGCTCTCCTCCAGGAACCACGCTGCCGTTGGCACAAATATCCCTGAGTCTCAACACAGCACCTCACTAATAAGACTCGCACCCAGCCAGCTCAGAGCCTGGACTCAGATTTCCCAACTTTACCTGCACTTACATATCGATTTGCACACTGAATTTCAACAGAGTCCAAGTTATACCCAAATGAACCCATCTGACTCGAAGACATGTGTCCTTTACCTGAAATCCTTTTTTGCAGGCTCCCTCAATCTCATGGTAGTCTTGCTCCGTGCAGAGAGGGCAAGCTTCTGCACTTTCCCATACAAAGTAGAAAGTGCATCCATCGCAGGTGCCCGCAGGGCATAAGCTAGGAGGAGAGCAAAGCTTAGTTATCACTTACGAAACACTCTGGGGTTTGCATCCTCACTCCACATTCTGCTGCTGAAGATCGGTAATGGTAAGTACAACAAATGGGTAAACATCCATCAAGTCAGCAGATGGAAAAATCTGGGGTAAGAATTTTTCCCAGTTTGCAAAATGATTTCTCGAGTGAAAACAGATGTTGGGCTGTCAAAGGTCTAAAATAGCAGTTCAGTTCCTGGCAGTGAGTGCTACTCACGCACCTACGGTGAAAAGAAAAGAAAGAAGCAAGTCTTGGAGATCAGCAGAACTACTCCAGCATTTCACCAGCATGGGCTAGCCCAGCATGCACCTCTATCGCTGTTCTCCTGCACTGGGTGACTGTTCCACATGAATGCTGCTATCTGGTTCCTGCTGTTGTTCTAATGATGTCTGGGTGATTTCGTCCGTATGGAATGGACTTGTCCTGTCATGGTTAATTACTAGAAGGATGTTCACCAGTTAATGAAGAGATAACAGCCTCTCTTAGTCTAAGAAAGACTAATGACCTTATTTTGTATTCAGCCTGCAGAAGAAAGTTGTACTGGCAATGGCAGGACATTCACGCAGCTTTTGTTATTGACAATTACGTCAGGTCTAACAGCAGCAGTGGCCAAAAGTCCATGCAAGAAGCTAGATCATGTAAATGTGAAATATATCCATACAGAAAAATGGATTATTTTTTTTTCCTATATCATCTGAAGGATTGAAAAATGCACAGCCCTAAAAGCCCATTCTGGCTTATCCTGATTTGAGTAACTGACAACTGTCCTCTCTGGATTATGCAACATTTTTTCAATGTACATGGCAAGAGCATTGACAGACCTTTCTCCTCAACCTCTTTCATCTTATACTGTAACTTCATTTGATACTAAACACCATGTCTGGAGCATAAAGGGGTTACATGCAGTATTATTTGACATGTATCAGATACCTCACTGTTTCAAAATACCTGTCGGACTGCTGACCTAATCAAAGGGGACTAGGAAGGGAGAAGTCAACAAGAACTGAGATAAGGTACATCATGTCAGCTGTGTGCCATTTCTGCCCATGCTCACACTTTTAAAAGCAAGGTAGGTTACTCCTCCCTTACTACTAGTGAGTTGTCACAGCTCACATCGTGTTTGACCTACAACACTAGAAGGACTCCTAGAGGATTTTCACATGGCAGCTGATAGATAGTGGCTTGTTGCCCAGCATGATTTGTAGTGTGACAGGTCCCTAAGAAACTGGGGTAAACATCTCCAAAGGTGTTCAAACATCAATCACTCATCCATCACCTGTGAAGTAGATGCCTCTTTGCCTTCATTCAGGTGAGCATGGCTCACCTGTCCCAAGAGGGACAGGGATCAAAGGAGGATCCCACACTTCTCACACCGTCAGCTTTTTGGAAGAGGACTTAACTTTTGGGAAGGAGGATGAGTGAAAGGGCTATCAGCAGTTTTATAGTAACTTTTATAGTTACTATAGATATTTATAGACTAAGATGGGCCTTGACAGCCAAAGAGGAGGGTTATCAGAGTTGAGGGGAACTTCTGAATAATCACAGGGTGTTGCTAAAGAGTAATAGAATTAACTCTTTTACAATTTTTTCTCTGCAACTTTTCAGGTGCAGGAATAAACAGGACTTTGGAAAAAAAGAGGCCTTTTGGATTCACTTGAACCAGTGTGAAGGGAAAAAAAGGTCAGCCAAATTAAACACAACTAGCACAAGGGTTGCATGATACAAACTGGAGTGATGAGACACATAAATAAGTACATATAGAACTTGAACTAGACAGAATCAGGGCTCATGGAAGTATTGCAATAGCAGATTTCATAGTTCCTAGGACAGGCTGCTGTTTTTCAAAAAAATCACTTTGTCCACAGCAACTGCTGTAGATCAAGGAAGAAAAACTACCTCTCAAAGCCCCGACTAGGCAGCTCTAATCAGGAGGCCAAAGATCAAATTAAGGAACTGAAATAAGGGAGAAGTGGTGACAAGAAAACATCACTATATTTTCTTTTGGCTTTAAGCTCAAAACAACCTGCCTGAGCTCTAACTTCTCTCACCACACAGCCTAAATACAGAGCAGTTGGTCTGCTGGGAGGTGATGGACACAAAGGTCATTCACCTAGGAGAAAGGAGTGAGACCTCCTGGGTGGCTGATGAGGGAGACAGCACTCCTCATTGCTGTTAAGTATAAAATTACTAATGAGTTTTGTAAAGATTACCTGAGGAGAAAAGGCTTTTTGGCACTACTAGGATACAAATACTTAAATACCTGGGCACAGAAAGCTCTCCTTGGTCTGGTTTGTTGGGATTGCACCTCATTGTCACAACAGTTGCACGGCCATTTTCACAGGAGGTTGTCACTGTTGAAGACCTAATATCAAACAAGAGGAGAAATGTAACACCTTTCCACTACAGTAAATACATGTTGCTCTTTAATAGGTCTCCGTCCATTCATGCAACTGGAATACTAAAGAAATACCCTTTACCACAGTGCTTTTGCCTTTTTCAGCTGGAAGAAAAAAGAGTAGCAACAGAAGCAGGGTAGGTTTCACCATTTCATTTAATTCTCCAAGTGCTGTGAGATGCCACTCAGGGAACTGCTCTGTTTTTCTAACTAGTTTGAATTCTGCTGAGTCAAGGAATAAACCTGCCCACAAAACAGAATAGAACAATTTTAAAAGAGAATTGCAGGTGCTGTGGTTGGTGTGCTACTCTGCGGGAGAGTTTATGATGGCTCTCTCCTCGCCTAGTAATGAGAGAACCACACTGTCCTGAAATAGCATAAGGCAAAGGGGATTAAAAAATGGACCTTATTCCAACATGATAGACATTGTAACCCAAGTTCATAATATACTCAAAGTAGGGTCACTTGTGTGGGGTTCAGTCTGCAGATCAGACATGTAATTTAGGCATTCACATATGCATAAAATGTTGATATTCAAAGTGTTACAGCCAATTAAGATCTATCACTAAAGCCAACACAATCTAGAGAGCCAATCAGTAGAATAAATATAGGTATGTGCCTTAAGATAAGCTGAATGGCCCTATGGGCTCCACAGTCCAAGCTTAGAAACCCAGTTCACATGAAGACACCAGCATGTAGACATCTTAACTGAGGTGATCTTTGAGCTAATTCTTACCCAAGCCGAGGCATTCTTTTTATGGAGGAAACTGAAGAATAGGAAAGGCACACTAGTAACCGTGCAGGTTAGAACAATTATTTTTAACCTCAGTTAGTCTGGGTTTGTAACATCAAAGTAAATACAAATGAATGTGAAAGAAAATATGCAATGGGAAATGGACATATCAAAGCCATATATGAGAAATTATGGAAAGGAACATGACACTGGAAGTGGCACCTGGATGAATCAAAGCTCTGGTATCGCTCTCTATAGATCAAGTGTAATTCACATTTGAGTAAACAGTGTTTGCTGATTTCATAAGATGTTCTTCAACATGCCAATCAATATCAGCCAGATACTGATTAAAGTGATAAAGATTAAAGGTAGATTAACGATTTCCCCTCAAAGTTTTAGTTTCCTTTAAACAAATGAAGAAATTTGATGTACCAATAAACAGAATTTTTTACCTACTTGTAAAAGAAATGCACATCGGGTATTTTGCTTGGAGAGGGAGGAAACACATCTGCCTTGATGCTGATATTTTCCAGCATTGTTTCAACAGTAGCTCCTAAAATTTGAGAAGGGGCGGGGGGGGACAACAAAATCCACAAACAAGCTAAGAATCAATTTCAATTTCTGAAGCGTTCACATATAACATTTTCTTAGTCTGAAAGGTATGGGTCTCACTTAGTAGCATTTAATGACATTACTATACATTATACACTTTCTTCTATTCTAACTAAACTTTGCAGATTCGTATGTTCCTCATACATTCTGATTTCCTTACATAGACATAACAAAACAAAAAACTAATAAAACAACACCAGTGTAAATAAGTTTTACTCTTTTGTATGAATTTAAAGCAACCATGGGATATTACAGAATGATAAAATAATTTAGGTTGGGAAAGGACTGCTGAAGATACCTGATCCAAACAACTGCTCAAAGCATATGCCTTGAATGTATAACCCTCATACATCATAACCTCAGCAATCTGCAGTACTGTGGGAGAAAAACTGAAAGACGCAAGATTCAGAAGGATTATGGAGTCTTAGGCAAGCCTTGATGGCACATTTTGGAACAAATGACAGGCTGGTGTGTGGAACAACACAGGTTACACAGGTCTGCATGGATTTTGGAGAAGAGCTGAAAAAGAGGAAAATTCAAGTAACCAAAGTTCTTAGAGATCCTTCCAACCCCATGAACCAAAGAAGACAGAAAATATTGGTGCTGCACTCCAACATTTCAGAATAAGAGGGAGCTGTACAAATGGGACAGGCTGCATCTTTCCAGCGAGGTGAAAAATTGCTAGAACAAGAAAAGGTGGTAGCAGCCAGCAGCTGGTGGGAAGATGGGTAAGACTGAAGAAAAGAAGTTTCCACTTGTTCTTGCAACAGTTCAGACAGCCTAACTGAATTCTTAGGACTTTGGCTTGACTGGCATTACATTTGGGAGGACCATTCACACAGCTGGAAAATCCATGTCTGGTTATAGCACTTTTAGGTAAATATAGTAGATAATGAAGCTGACAGTTTGCACTAGACAATACTACCTGGTGCAGGACAAGTCAGAGCCAGGGATTGTGAAAGCACATGGATCACTGTGCTCAGTAACATTGCTCAGGAGGACTTGCAGGTGAGGGATAACTACAGAGCATCACGTCAACGGAGAGAACAAAATGAGCTGTGCTGCAGCAACCATCAGGAGCATGTGCAGAAAGATGTCAGGTTATTTTGGAGGACCCTCCATTCTGAGAACATACGCTGACATCAGCAAAGGTGATGAATTCCTCTCATCGAAGACATTGCATCGAACACAGGGTAAAACTTAAATCTGGATTGCAACACAATGGACAGAGATTAGTTACTCACTAGACTGGAAGATGACAGCTCCTAGGGACCTTATTATATTCAACAGAGGTGATGAAAGAATATTCCCATCCAATATGCAGTACAGTAGACATGGTATCTCAAAGTGCAGTTTCTCAAAAATAAGAACACTAGAAGCAAAATGAAGTGGGGGGGGGGGAATGTCATTCTTCAGAGGATATTAATTATATGGCTAAAAAGCCACAATGACTCTTGCAAGAATGACAATAGCTTTGAGTAAAAGTCCACTTTGGATCAGAACAGTGGTAAAAAAGCAGTTAAAATAAAAACATTGCTTAATGTTTTATTTGTCAATATGTTGAATAAATGCCAAATTTGTCAATGTCAAATAAAAACAAGCTTAATGGAGGGAGAATAGAGAATCAAATAAAATCAAAAGTTATGAGTTACAGAAAAATTATAATGGATGCTAAAGACTTCAGGGAAAAGCCTGTGTTTGGCAGCACTGGAAAAAGTACAAGTTGGGAGCTTTTTTTAGAAAATCTAGAAATAAACGTACATCTTATGGATAGGAAAGGCAAACTTCAACCATTTTAAAATGTAACAACTGTGATAAATAAAAGGTAGCAGAAGAGCTTGGTATCTTTTCTCTGTATTAGGAAAAAATCAGGACTATCTCCTTGCTTTCCAAGACAATGACTGAACACCTCATTCCTTCAGCAGCTGGAGAGGATATTGGCATCTACTTGGCATGTGTGCTTATAAACTAGCAAACCCATGCCTAAGAGTGACCTTTAAAGAGCTTTTAATAATAGCAAAATTTCAAAAGACTGATGGAGAGGGGATATGGTGAGCCAAGTAACAATGTGGCTAACACAATGAGTCAAAATAACAGGTAATTGGAAGATGGGTTTCAGTTAATGATTAGATACATAATGACTGACAGTCAACATGAATTTATGGAGAACATCTCTTGTTGAACAAATCTGATTTCATTCCTTGAGTGCTGATGAATTTGGCTGCTAAAGAAAATTATGTAAATTTATCAAGTATTTCACTAATTACCACATGAGATTCTAATTAAAAAGTTAGCAGTGTAATATCAATTAAGTGCACTCTCTGGATTAAAAATTATTTAACTAGCTAATTATAAAATTATCTGGCCATGGGAAATTGTCACCAAATGTGGTATGTCTCCAGGCTTCCCTAGGCATTGATATTGGAGACCCAAAATGCAAGATTATCATCAGGGATCTGCAAGTAACTATATAATCACTGTTGACAAAGTGTGTAGATGAGACAAAGATTAAGAGGAACAGGAATAAAAGATAGAGCAACTTGGTTCACTTGGTAAGATGGTCCCAATCAAAATAAACATATTCTAGTGCAGACAAGTGCAGCAAGGGATGAAGGCCAGTCCTAAGAAAGAGATTTTTATTGCCATTACAGTGAATTGAATAGCGGAATACTATTCCATTCTGATGCCCATGCTTTAAGAAAATATAATAACAAGTTACAGAGGCTGCAGAAACAGCCTCAAAAATTATTCAGATGCTTGAGAGATATACATGATAGCAAGAGACTTAGAAGAACTTGGTCTACTTAGATTATCAGAAGAGCAGACTGGGGAGGGTGTGGTGATTCCTTACACAAAATATTCCTCCAAGGAGGAAAATGTGGGTGTGAAATGGAGAAAGAATAACAAGAAGCAAGAGCTGAAAACTGAAGCCAGGCAAATTCAAACAGGAAACAAGCCTGCTTTAAAACAAAATACAGAGGTGGTGTTTGACCAGTGGAAAAAAATACCAATGACTGTGGCAAAGCTTTTATTGCTGGCTGTCTTAAAAGTCCAGGTTGAATGCTCTTCCAAAGACGTGCTTTTGTCAAACATGAGTTTCTGGGCTCAATGCCAGGGAGAAAGTACAAACACTCGGTGCCTGTAATGGATAGGTGAACAGACTAAATGACTTCATCGTCTAATCTGGCCTCAGACTCTGGGAACTTGTGAGCCAGAGCAATGCAAGCCTTAACGATATGCATGGCCCCATGCTGCCCTAAGCCTCCTCCTTTCTCGCCTAATTATGTCCCAGCACCAGATTCTTCTGGAATTGCCGGAGTGGGCACTTAGCATGGGCAGAAACACTTGGACTAATGTGACTACTACAGTGATTGGTCTTGCCTTGCATGAGGTGGGTAGGAAACATGAAAGAAAACCAGTGCTTTTTAATTACATTCTCCAGATTTTTGTGCTGAAATTCTGTGCACCATGGGACCCACCAGACGAAACACAGGGAATAGTGAGTAATACTGGCATGGAAAACAAAGAATGGGAGCAGCCCTTACTCTTCTGCTTCAGCCATCAGCTGAACAGAAAGAGCAGCAAAAGGCAATGGCATCTGCCCAGATCTGCTTCACAGCTCAGGAACAAATTGGGACTGAATCTTGGGCTGCCCCTTCACTCTTCCCCCTGCGCAGCCCTGCTGAGCTGAGAAGGATTTACTCTGCAGCCCTAAATACATGAGAGTACATGCAAGATAACTACAAGCAGAAGACAAACTGTGTACCTAAGAACCTGTCAGCAAGGCTGTTGGACTGCAGAGCCAGGGCTGTTCGGAAACCCTTGCTGTCTGACGGGATGATGGTGGACTGACAGACAAAAGCTCCCACAAAATTGGAAAAATCTTCTGATTCTGCAACCATGTCCTTCAGAGTAACATCGGTGATATTGTCAGTGCAAATAGCCATCTTCTTCCCCTGTGGACAATCAGGAAAAAATGAGGAAGCAGTTCGTTGTTGATAAGACATGAAAAAGTTTGGGAAAGGAGAGATTGCAAACTGGATGAGTTTCATTACCGCACCTTAGAAACAACTTGATGTTTCTATCATGAGAAGGACAAATTGCAACAACAAACTGTGCCATCATGAAAGTTGTGATTAAAGCCTTGTACAGACTCAGAAACACGATGTCACCTCTGGTACGTGTCTTATCAGAAACCTGTGCTACGAAGCACTCTTTGTTTATCTTGACAGCACAGTGTTTACTAGCGGAGCATAATGAAATGGTTTGCAAAGGAAAACCATATTTCCCTTGCCTTTAAATAATATACTGTAGAATACCTCTTTATTTGAGATTTAATCCAGATAAAATATTTTCAAAGCATAAATACATGAAATCCCTAAACAGATATTTAGCCTTCAAGGCTGCATTAATGTCACCTGTCAAGACCAGTGCTAGAATCTCAGAGCAAGAGCAATGAAAGACAAATCACCAGACTCAGTTGTCCTGACAAAATGTCAAGCATTCATGACCTAATCATATGGTTGGTAGTACTGTAGTACCGTCATAGTAGTTTGGGAAAATGAAGACCAGATCCATAGGGGAGTGAGCGTATCTGTACCTTTGAGGATCTAGTTGTCAGCAGCTCTAATCCAGGTGGTACTTAAACACACATTTAAGCCTAAAAGTATGCAAAACACTGTAAAGAAAAGTGACTAATCATTTGCCTCAACTCATGCAGACCTCTTGGTACATGGAAAGAAACTTCAGAACTTTACAGGGCTGAACATTAATGTAAACTACATGCATTGGCTTTCATGGGACAATACACATCACTGGTACTGCTCCAAAACTTCAATTTATGTATGTGACACCATGCTCTGGTATAGTCCAAGCCCCAGACAGAAAAATCTTGACTCTGGGGTGGAAACTGTTTGCACTCATGGACTAAACACATATTTCCACCAATTTAAAAGGCTGCAATCAAAGTCAACAATGGGCATCTCGGCCACTGGCAGAGAGCAGGGTGACCAGGGGCTCTGCTGACAGCAACATCTCCAGCAAATTCACAAGGGTAGCATATGGAAAGAAGTTGGCAACCGAAAGACTCAGACTCTCCACTTGAGTTCCTTGGCGGCAGCACAAAAAGGTCAGGGTTGTGACCCAAGTGACTTGAAGGCACAAGAATTAAGAAAAGGTAGGGATGTGACGGGGTTTTTCTTCTGGGCATTACTTATGCCTAAAACACTGTCATCTTTGCTCTGGAAAATCACTTGGCTGCTCAAAAGTCCTCTTGCCCTGCTGAGCAAGATCCAGAGGCAAGTGTTTGCACAGTGTCGGTGACAGCTCAGCTGTAGGGGAGCCCTCATCCTGTCCCAGTGTGATCCCACAGAGCGTCAACATGGGCAGCAAATTGGTTAATCCCCGCAACCCTCAGCACCAGCTGAGCTCACCTCATTCCCACACAGGCTGATGTTAAAGAAGTGGAAGAACTTGGTCCCTCGGGAAGTGAAGCTGGGTCCGCTCATCAACGAGCCCACCTGGCTGAGGTTGCTAAAATCGTAATTCAGGCTCTGATTATCCTTGATGTACGACACCAGGCAGTCACTGAAGCAGGCAGAGTGGTCCTTCAGAAAAGGAGAGGCATCCATTAAAGAGCAGTTACAGACCAGCAGCAAACCATTCACCTGGGAGTTAAAGCAAGCAGGTGCACACAGGACTGCTTTCCTTGTTAAGGATGGAGGGGAACTTTGTCCTATTCCTGTAATTCACCTTTCCCTTGGGAGAATTCCCATTCCTGTTTCAGTCCCTTTCATTCACATATCAGGACTTTAACATTCCCTAAGCCTGGCCTTTCTGCTGTCCGCTGCATTAGCCAAGAAAATGCAGAGTTTCTTGCTCTTTTTTGTTGTGGGTGCTTTTAGGATCCTAATGTCCCAGCTTAAAGCCCGGTAGATAGACCAGAACATGGCCTCACCCACATCTTGCAAAGGAAACACAAGAAACAGCTCAAGAAACAGGGATAGGATATGAACCCAGCTGAAGACAGGCAGAATATGAACAAATTGAGCAGTTCTTCAAGTCTCTGTGCTGCTCCTTGCCAAAGGATGTTGCATATGATAGAAGTTTATCTAGGCTTAAGGGCAATTTCACATAAGAGGAACTTGTTACAGGTTTCTAAAGGCACAGAAACATCACCCAGATGAGGAAGCACCTGAGTTTAAAACAGCAGGAGTCGTGGACAGTTTTAGGTGGAAGTAACATATATGCTTGTGTTGTTCTTACGCTGTCCCCAGTACAGCTTCCTGGAATTAACCTTTTTCTGAGCTGGTGTGGTCAATTTTATTTTCTCATTGCATACTTACAAACAGAAATCAGACTAGGGACATATTTGAAAGAGTGGGATCACTGGTTATAATTATACTCCAATGCTCACAAGGCACATACCTGTAGGAAAACACTACAACTGGCCTTTTGAGTGCTTATATCCCACTAAACCCTGTCTGCCCATAGTTCAGAGACACTTGGTTTCTGTACCTTGGTGCTCTTGCTGCCAGGCCCGCATGGGATGCAGGCCTCCCTGCCGTAGACCTGGTGGATGGACAGGAAGGTGTTGGCCGGACACTCCTTGCACTGGCTGGTCTCCTTCTCGATGTAGTGTCCCGCCGGGCAGGGCACACAGGATGAGCCAGACTGCTCCGAGCCCAGCGCACAGGCCCGGCAAGAAGAGGCGACTCCATCCACTGCGTTGGTCACCATGATGGAGTAGATCTTGGCCATGTCATTGATGAACTGTCTGCTCTGGAACAAGAGCCAAGGAAACCACCCTGGTGTCATCACGCCATGGCATTTTGACACTAACCACAACTCTGTGCACCAATTCAGGGATCGACTTATGCATGTGTCTGTCTTTCAACATGGATGGTTTATCCACAGCTGCCTCCCAAGGGCTGCTATATGGGGACAGCCACTCACCCCTTACAAGAAGCCTGTGAGCTTCAATGGAAGGCAAGAGCTCTGGCAGTGAGTGTCCAAGCAAAGCTGTGTTGTAAAGCCCTATACCTAAAGAAGTACTTACATCTTGGCCCTCATTTATTCTCTGAAAGGCCCAGGTGAACGTGAAGGAAGCATTTTTGGAAATGATGTGAGTGTAGGATTGTTTCTCTTTACTTCTTTCCCACGATTCCACCACATTGGTATTTTTTCGATTAACATCCTATAAAATGGACATAAACGTTTTTTAAAGAAATTGTAAGTGTGGTCATAATACTCTAAACACCAGTGTTTTATAATACAGAGATTAATATATATAAAGGACTTTACAATTACATTTAAAGTTTAATAAAGGAGAGCAAACATATTTATTCTGTTTTCCACCACTGGCAATTTTTTAATTGAGAATGGGTGTCTATTCCAAAAGATGCTCTAGTTCACACAGCAGTTAAGTTCAAAGTCCTGTAGCAGGTTATAAATGTTAAGAAGACAGATTCAATACAGTGGTTCTTTCAGATTTGAAATTCTGTTTATGTATAAAACATGTGGGTACCAGAGCACAGACAGGGGAAGGCTAAAATTCAAAGAAAAATTGTAGTTTCTACCATCTTCAGATACCCACTTTGCTGGTGTCTCTAGTGAAACAGAACTGAGGCCAACAATGCAGTGTCAAAGTTTACATGAGAAAAACCTGTTCGGTCTAGGTTCATGTTTCTTATTCTCCATCAGCTGTAAATGCTCCAGTGAAAGATGATTTTCCTTTAAAACAGATGCCTTTAAATTATCACTAAAGGCAGATTCCTTTAAAGTACCACTAAATACAAAAAAGCACCAGCTTCCCTTTGTAATGGAAGGGGTGAGGGAGCCATCGCAGACCCAGTTACCTTCCTCAGCTGATGGCCTTTCAATAAGCAGATGACAAAAGTAAAAAATCCACAGCACTTTGCTTTCCCAAACAAACGTTTGCCTGCTGCCCTGCTGATCCCCCAGGTCATTCAGAGGATCAAGACTAAATTTCCAAATTTTCCATTTCCCATCCCTCTGTCCCACATCTTGACTTGTGACTCTATTAAACTTCTGGAGGCTAACTCGACTGCACGAGAGACACTGAGAATTTTACCATATGGATTAACAGGGGAAAATTTGGCTCTTTGGTGTCCAATGATTTCTTTTAAAATAAACAGATAACCAGGAACGGTTCACAACTCACATGGTGGAGGAATTTTGCTAGGTCATTCATTAAATCCTTCCTGCAAGGGCACCGCAGATATTAAACTAATGTCATACTTAATCTTAGTCATAATAAATCAAGTGCAACTAATCACACCTATGTAGAGGCATTAAAGTGACATGTGGAATACCAGGCTCAGTCCTCAGTCATGGAGAGAAAGGTCTCACTTACCGCCATAAAGTACAGCACACAATCTGCCGAACAGATGGTCTCAAAAATAAAAGTAATCCGTCCTAGTTCTGACCCAGTTGCTCCTGTCACCGATGTCGGAGGTCTGTTTAACAGAGAAGGAACAAAACATTTACAAGGTGCTCTACAGACAGGCAGCAGTCAATCCTTCAAATTGCTTTTCGTACAGTGAGGAAACCATCAAAGTCCTGTCACATAAAACCTGCCCTTGCAGAACTGCGGAGGCCAGGTTTGCACAGCAGCTCTGCGCTGGGTATTGGGCACAGCAGGGTTATTTTTTAAGTGTCTAACTTCTCTGTGATACAGTTCCCTCCTTATAATCAACACCCAGATTTGACCATACTGGTAGGCACTTCAATGCCTTATATGCTTTAAGTGATTTACACCAATTTAATTGCATCTACCCTGCACTGCTGGGAGATGCTTTCAGGAGTTTCATGTAAACCAGAAGTATTCAGGGTGGTCTCCTGCAAAGTACTAAATGGTAAATTGGGACATGCCAAGCTTTTCCACAGATATGTTTCTTGCTTCTCCTTTATTTTAATTCTGTTTGGGCATACTGTAAAATAAAAATCAGGGCTTGCTCATTGGGTGTAAGAAGTCACGAATCCCTCAGCTGAGATACAGCAAAGGGAGGGTGAGGTTCATTTTGCCATCCCTTACCTGTCTTAATATTTGGCACCTGGTCCGAGCTAGGAGTCTAAGCTCACTCTTCTGACGAAGAGACACAAGCACCTCAAACAGCTCTTTCATCCTGTCTAAGGGTCCGGGAGAGGTGAGATGCCCTGTTCTCCTGCGGCGCCTGCATCTCTCCACTGGCTCCAGGGGACGCACAGACTGTGCCGGCTGCCTGGAGCCACAGCACAAAGTAATGTGGGTTTCTGTAAAATACCTTCAGGGCAGGCACCGGTATCCTCTCCATGGCAGGCGTAGCTGGCTACTTTGGGATAATTTAGAAAGAGAGGGATAGGAATATCTTTTCTCAGCTTCCAGGCAGCCAACCGGCTGGCATCTCGGACTGAAGCAAACACTGCTAAAAACCAAGGTCTTAGAGAATCGTCTGCTGCAATGGGCTGACTGGGGACACAGGAATAAAACCAAAGTTTCCTCTTGTCTCTCATTCATGACATCATTGCACTTCAGAAAGGAAAACTCGGTTCATTCCAGGGGTAATGTGAAATAGGTTGTAAGAGACAGAGATAAATGAAAAATAGATGAAAAAAAAATCCTGTTCCTTACTTAAATCCCGGGATGTGCAGGTTCAAGATAAGATAGTCATTGTCAGAGCCTCCTGCCCCACTCTGGATGTGATCACCAGCCACCTCCCAACCTTCACAGGACAAAAAACGAAGAAAAAAAAATGGATGGTTTCTGGGTCATATGGCAAAAAATTTTCTATGTTACCATACTTGTTTAAGCAATTCAGTACTTTAGTACATTGTAAAGATACCTGGTATAAACTATAGAGCAGTTAAATAATGCTTTTGAATGAAAAATTTTAGTAATTTTATGAACTGCTGATTTTATAGGCAAATGTCACCTTGAAATCAGCAAAGCAATTGAAATTCCCTGAACTGTGCCGTGCAGCTCAAGGGGGATGATCCGTCTGATCTCTTCCAGCCTTAAAACAGATGAATCAATGAATCTATGTGTTAAACGTTAAGCATATACTTCAGTGCCCCTCTGCTCAACACACATAATTCAAAGCTTGAGTTACACCAGCCTGACAGGGCAGATCAGGCTGAGGAAAATCTTTCAGAGAAGGCTGGAGGTGGGAGAAGTCCCAAACAGGATCATTTTTACCGGTGAGCTGTGACTGCTCTCTGCTGAAATCTTAACACATGTGCAGAGACAAAGCTGTCAGTGCTAAATGAACAAAACCACAGACTTTAATTAAGTTTTCCAAAGGAATTATGTGTGGCCTCCACGGGCATAGTTATCACAAAACATGAAAGGAGATAAACTAAAAAGAAGTCAAGCAGTTTGTTTTTTTCAATGGGGATATTCAGATGCATCAAAGTCTATGGTGGGATAGATCCTTGACTGAGGGGACTTCACACAGGCTTCAGCTCCTGCCCTCTTCCAGTATACAAGAGATTTTTTATTTCTTCTTTATGATATTGTGACATTACTTCCTACAGGAAATTTCAAGCCTGGTGCAATTAAAGAAAAGAGGGGAAACTGTGTTGCGACTCAGGCAGCAAAGAGTATACTCATTTTGATGGGTGCTCCATTACAACAGTGATCAGTGCAGGAGAAAGAGAGACACATAATAACACAGGGGGGTTGGCTCACCGTTCATCCCATCGCACTTTGAGTTGCCAACATTAAAGCAAGACGTCTTCATGTTGCTTGGCAGGATGTTCCACCACTTGTACTCAAACCCAAGAGCTGGTTCAGTCCCAGCAGGGCAGGCTTTGCACTCTACAGGGCAAGAAGGCAGGAAAAGGAAATCACATGGCCAAAGCACATTTCAAACATAAATATTACTTTTTTATTCTCTGGTGCAAGTAATAAGCAAAGAAATTAATTTCTTTCTTTATAATTAAATAGTCAAAGACTTATCAGGACCAAAGAGTGGAAACAAGACCAGCATTTTATAAAGTGCCGATCATAACCTCGTGGTAAGTAATCCGCCACTGATCCCCCAAGCCACACTTTGTTTTTAATGGTTTCAGCTGAAGGTTTGATCACACTGGTAAACGTGAGTTCCCATAAAATGCTGTAGGTGACCACTGGGCCAATACATTTCAGAATCAACAAGCCAGAGCTTAGGGTAGACAATGTTGGCAGGGTACTCATCTGACAGTGCTTAAAATGAGATTTTCACAGGGAAGAACTTGGCATGGACAGGAGAATGGGTGAGAGGGAATTACTGACCGCAAAAGTTCTGATTGCCTTCTCAGAATCCTTAAAATCCTTAAAATAACCCTCAGGATGTTTATATCAGCTGAGAAATGCATCCAGAACACAGTGGGTGAACTTAGAGCAGCAATCCCTGATAAGAAAGGACTTCAGAGAGAAAACAGACATCCAACTCCCTCTCTCCAAAGTTATTTAATAAGTATTTTATGCAAAATGAACTCTGGCTTATGATGATGTGTCACTAAACTAAGTCACATGCAAGCAGACAACTGCTTTTGGGGACACAGGCAATTTTTTTGTGGACTCCTACCCTGTGTCCCATCCGAAAATGTGCCTGGTGGGCAAGGAGTACAGGAAGATGAGGCATTGTTGTAAAAGCCAGGATTGCAAGGTGGACAATCCTTCCTCTCTCCAGAAGGAGGTAGGGTCAGTGCATCAGGGACATCCTCTCTGCAGATCTTGGGTTCAATCCATTTGTACATGATCTGAGTCTGGAAGGAGAAGACACTGAGTTCACATGGTGTGTTACAAAGCTTTAGGACTAGATGCACCAATCAAGATCCCTCTTCTAAATGAAATTAGGGTATTCCCAATGTTTTAAGCCAAAACCAGACCTTGCACATCCAGGACAATAAAGGGAAGGGCAGAGAAGGGAAACAGAAGTGATTGGGTTCACAGGCAATTCCAAGATATCAGACCTTAAGAGCAAAGCAAAAATGTGAAGCTTAAAACAATTACTACTGTTCTTTCTTATTTATCTAGTGAATTTTCCCATGAAAATGTTTCTGAGGAACATCAGATAAATAATTCTAACAACTGCATAAGCAATCTGTGCATTTTGAGCATAGTAACCCAAAATATAACCTCTGTGTTATAAAGTCCCTTTATTGGGAAGGCATCTGTTAGCAGAGAACACCACAAATTTTGCAATTTTTCTCCATACTGGTCTCTTCTTTGAAAAGTCCTCAGTTTCTCTCCAGCCATTTTCACTTACTGAGCAAATGCCAAAACCACACAGGAGCTCTCCCAACCCCTCTCCAGTTCCTCCACATTACATAAGGAGCAGTTTATGAAAACTAACATGAGTCAGTCCTTGGCATTACCATATACAATGGTATCGCCTCTCCATCATCACCTCTCTTTAAGGAGGCAAGTTTTCTGTCGTAAGGAAAAGGCTTAGGTGAGATGCATCCCCCATGAACTTGGGTTTCAGATTTCATCTGACTTGGGGTCTATCCCTGAAAGGGTTTAAGATCTCAAGATGAAAATTAGTTGAGTTCCAGAGCTGAGAAACCCAACTGGCAAGACTTTAACGTAGTCACAGCTCCCACTCTGGGTACTTCCACCCTTTATTCCCAGCAGTGCAACCAGGGAACCTTGAGGCCAGAGCTTGGCAGGGAAGATTTCACCTTATGAATTTGACCCAGGGCCCTGAGCACATGCCCCTGCCATCCTGGGCGCTGAGCCACTTGCGCTCAAGGTTAGCCCTCTGATGACACAGAGCTCTTCAAGAAGTACTGATCATCTTTGAAACTGTTTGAAAAAAAAGCTGGAAGCAGGCTCCTGGGAGCTGCAATGAAGCTGAGGCTCTTGCCCTTTCTCCCTGCCTGTGCTGTGCTGCAGCCATGCCTGTTCCAGGTCCTGTACCCTGGTTGACCCACATCCTGACTGACCCATGGACTCGATATCCCAGCTTGACATTGGTTGTGCCTCATCGCTATGGACTTGTCCGGCAACTTTGGCTGAATCTGGCTGCTGACGCTGGGTCTGCTTTGCTCAGGTACTCTGGGACTGCTCCTGCTGTCAGAGTGGCATCTGTCCCTTTACGGATCAGCCTGTCCTTGCTGCTCCTGAACACTTAGAGGATTTTCTGGAGTATTGCTCCAGAAATGCTTCAGCTGCATCAGGGTACACAGCATTTAAAATAAAAAGACTCATGAGCTGGCAAAGTACCTGTGTGGTTGCCCAGAGCCCAGACACATTGTACATGCTACAGCAATCCTACTGCATGTGAGCAGAGAGAAAAGGGTCAGAGAGTGCCCATAGCCATGCAGGTGAGGCTGGGGCTGAAGCGATCAGCTTGGGATTTTTAAAGCAGTAGGGAGGTGAAAAGTCAATAGGAGTCAAGTGCCTAAATCTCCTGAGGCCCCTTCTACACATTGAGTAGGGACGGCAGGAGGGAGACAACAATCTAATGTCCAGTGAAAAACCTGGCTGATTTTAGTAAGCCACGGATCAATAGGCCTTTAGGCTGGTGCTTTACAGCCACTGTTCACCTGAAGGTGGGCTGCAGAGTCAGGCCCTCTCATTGAGCTGCATCACGTGGAGAGATGGCTGGGGAGTAGGGCAAACCTGGACCAATTTCCACAGATGCAGAGCACTAAATGGTGAAAGCAGTCCTGAAAACCCAGCCAGTAGCTGTGCATCTATGACACATGTCATTGTTGCAACTGGAAGATGAAGGGTGTCTGCAGAAAGCCCCACTTCGTATTCTGATGATGGTCATCAGTGAAAGGAAAGGCCATTGAGAAGGCAGGAAGAAGGTCAACAGTAGGAACTTATTCAATGCCAGCAAGCCTTGAATTGCACAGAGCAGTGACAGGGTAATCCACAGGAGGCTGCAATTAAAGCAGTACGTGGGGGTGTAGCAGTGAACACTGCCGCTAATTCCACGAGTCATTGCAGGCAGTTCACGGAGCAAGAATCAGTGAGTCAAGACCAGGTTGTAGAGCCTGCCAGCTCTGGGGCTAAACTCACTGATGCTTCGTATTAAAGCACAGGAGCCCTCAGCTGCATTTTGGAACTGGCTGACCAGGAGACTCCGAAATACTCCATCGTGCCAGCAAATATTAGGCCAGCAACCTACAGGTGCTGTGGATTTTGACTACTTGCCATCCCATCCGTATCTAAGAGAGCTGGGAAAGGGAAGAAAAGAGACAAAACAGGCCTGACCATGTGTCCACACCTCTGTGGGCTCCATATGCCAGTAAATAGGAGTTTCTTCTCCAAATCCCACCAAAATCCCCTCTTGACTGCTGGGACAAAGGGCAGGACAGTTCCAAAGCCAGGCTGCTCCACCAGCAGGTCCCTCTATGAGATACCCAGTGGATCTAAGATCTGGCTGAAACAATCTACTGAGAGTCCAAGTGGTTCGAGGCATCCCATGAGGCAAGCACATTATTAGCAGCTAAGCTCTGCTGCTGCATATGAATACTCCCAGGCTATGTATATACCATTATTTCAATAGATCACGGGCTCTTCTTTGATGCTAAAACTAAGGGATATGATACACACATCATACCTGTGTAGCCAAACACTCTTCCACCTGAAGGTATGGTCATGTCCAATGCTCCTGTGCCATGGTAGCACCTGAATCATGCCTGGGCATTGCTGGGACAGGGCAAGTTGTCACAAGCCAAAAGTATGCCAGGAAAGATTGCTAACAACTAAATAGTAGGGTTTATTCTGGGACAGTACTTCTCCCTGTGCTTCAACCCTGTTTTTTTATGAGCATGGAGGTAGGATCAGTGACCCAGTCATACAATCACAAGTGCAAGGAGCTTAGCATTTCACAGTGACAGATCCCTTAAGCAGACCCATGACAGGCAGATTCTTACAAATGGATAAATGCTGGAGAGAAGGCAGCTAAAGGACAAGGCCAAAGCCTCAGAGATATTCAAAGCTGGAAGCAAAATTGGGAAAGCAATTGGGAAAAGAGATGCCAAGAAACCCTATCTTGTTTTCAAATCAAGAGATCACAGTAAGCTCAATGAGCTTAAAAATAGTATCATGCTTTCCACTTACTTTTCCTTCCTTATCACATGGGGTATGGATCTGGAAAAAGTCTTTGTTTGTGCATGGAGGACGCTCTATACACGCACTGGATCCCTCATCTAAAAAGAAAGGATGAGGAACAGGATGTTAAACTCTCAAATGGTCCCTTGAAACAACCATAAGGAGTTTAAAATCTGGAGATTAAAGTGAGTTAGCAGAAAAATACTAAATGAGAATGAAAAATCAAACTCTTAATGGAGTCTACATAAACCTTCTCTTGAAATGAAACAGGGCTACAGGTAAATTACCAGCTATGCTTGCACTGTCACACTGAAATTCATTGATTCAGTATAACCAAAGTTTGGAGTCACCCAAACACTCACCCCACCCCTTCACCTTCAAGCAGTAATTTGTGTAGTTTGCCAAGCATGGAAATATATCCTCACTTGATAAGGAACTAAAACACCCTAACGCATTAGAAACTTCCTTACAACACTGGCCCAATTTTTCCTCTCCCCAGATATTTTTTCAAAATTTCCATTCCCATCATGAGCACAGGCACAGGTTCCCCAATATTTGCCATAATCTGTGATAGCAGGTGCTATGGTCGGTAACTGATTCTTCAAAAACTTTCTTCTAAAACAACTACCACAAAGAAAACTGAAGACATTTCAACCATGAAGAATGGGTTGTGCCTGTGTTATTTGATGATCACCAGCTAACCACAGCTGGGAATGCAGAGCACTTTGGGGACTAGGGTTTGCAACTCGATCACCACATCTTCCAACCACCCAGGAGGCAGGGACAGGCTGGGAGAGGATCTGCAAAGTAGATTCCTCAAAACATAAGTCTGAAGGCAGTGATGAAGCCAATTCAGGTCATTGCCAACTGATAACAAAAATTACCACGAGAGGGCACAGCACGACTATTATTATCCTTCAGGAGACCTGTGCCCTTTGAGGTCATAAAGATGTCCATCCCTTCATGTTGGCATAGATGACCTTAGCCAAGATTGACTGTGGCCCATTACGTATATATGTGCCCTCTGCAGCTTTTGGGAAGTCCCACCTTCATTTTCCCTTTGCATATCAACTGGACACTAAACTTCATTGTTGGATAAAACCATTCTCACATTTGCACACAGAAACAGCTTATGACCTTACGTACGCAGACTCCCCTGGTTTTGCTTAACGCGTTTGATTGATGTACCTGCATAATACATTTCTTCTTTACATTTGGTGCACTCTTTCGCTCCTTTCTCAGAATAAGTATTTCTTGGACACACCTGGCAGCCAGATGAACCTGGTTTGTCACTGAAAGTACCAGGCTTGCATGCGAAGCATTCAGATGTATATGCAACTCCTGTAAGATAAATTACAGGTAAAGCATTGGAGTACAGAGAGGTATGCTCCGTCACTACTGCCTACCTGCTTATGGGGGAAAGCAAGCCAGCTGCATAACACAGCTTAAAAATCACACTTTCACCACTCACTTTGGACACTGGCTTTGCTGATTCATAATTTGGGTCTTTAATCTCTGCTTCTCAGTGCAAGGCTGACCCTTGTAAGAACCTTACATGACACTCCAAGTTTGATTACACTTAGAACAGAACCAAAAGAGCAATCCCAGATTAATTAAATCATTTAAGTAGTAATTTAACTGTCACTGTTATGCTCTATATATCTATTTATCACTGTTGAGAGGCTTACCAATAAGCATGGTCTTTCTCTACTACATTAAAGAAAACCTGTTTATTTTTTCCTCTATTTGCTAAGCCAGTATTCTCCAGTAGATGGCATCATTTACCAGCTAAATTAATTTTTCAGCCTTTCCCTGACTGTGCAGTTTTGCTGTTCTGTTTCTACACTTTAGAGAAGGAGACAGGGACAAAGGGGCTAAAAAAGCCACTTCGGTGCTGTGGGCACACCAGTATAAATGGCAGTTGGCAAACACTGTGACTAAAGAGTGAGATAAGGCCTAAAAGGGAAATACCACTTACCTTCAATCGTGATGTTTTTCACCAGAACTGGTTTTACTACTTTGGACCCCATGAGAATCCCTGTTGTTCTCCAGTATAATATGTTGCTACCTGATTTCAGAGTTACCTGCAACAACACACATGACAGTCAGCAGACATCTCCTCACCAAGAAATTGTTTTATTTCTTCCATTACTCAGATTTCTTGCATCCTAGCAGCAATCCTGGCTTTTCCTAAGCTGCTTAGTGAGTCAAGAAGTAATGGGGAGACAGCTAGGCAGATGCTGTAGAGACATCTCTAAGGCATGCCAAAGAGTGCTTTATAAAAAAGCTTCTCAACACTCCAGTTTTATGGTAAAACACCAAGAGCTGTTTCTGACCTTGTTGTAAGCAGAACTGGGAAAAAGCTCTTCCTGCCTTTATCCAGCTAGCCCTGGCACTCAGGAGCTTTTATGTCTATCAGATATAGTCATTATCAATATAGTCAATCAGTTTGTTTTTAAAGCTCTGAGATACACTTTTATAAAGAAACCCAACACGCCCTAGAGTTCAAAAATCCAAGCTCACAAGTGAGTTTTGTGTATAGGTTTTAAAAATCAAGCTCTGCCTGCATCTAACACTACAGCATCAAGATCAGCAAGCCAGGCGCAAACCATGAATGTCCCCAGCAGCAGTCCCATCCCTCCTGCTCATTTCTGACCCTGAACAGCAGATGAGATGCAGAAAAAAAAACTGGTTTCCAACTGCCTTGACCTACTTGTCTTCACGGCATGGTTCAGCAAGCAGCTGCACAACCCCTGTGCTGGCACAGGAGGGGTGGTGGGTTGGTGGCACCATGACTGGTATAAGGGGCAGGAGAAAGGCAGGACCACTTCTTTCAGCAGCAGTGTTGGTGCTTGCTGCCTTCAACTCACTTGCATAACTACAGCATCAATCTACTCACTAAAAGCACCGGGTTTACCAGGACTTACCTGGCCTGCAAAGCTGTACCGTATCTACTAGCCTGGTACAAGATGCCTACTGCCAACACAGTGATACTGGCCTGAAGGTGCTATATTTTCACACAAGAAGAGGGATAAACTCTACGTGCATAAGGATCCAGGCTAATGAGATTTACAGCAGTGCTGTACAGGCCTGGCAGGACCACAGTTTTTGTTCACCCAGGATAAAAGAGTCCAAAAATTCAGCAAAGTAGAAATTCAGCATATTGTATTCCCACTCCCCAAACAGCTGCTAATCAGGAGGGCAGAGGAGAGCTGGGTTACTGCAGGTAACAGGAGAACTGGGACCCTATTGAACCAAACATCACATTGTGTGGTGTAGAGATAGCCAACATCAGCTCTGGGACAGCAGGACTAGCATGCTGAAAGCAGAAGGCTGCATCAACTGGAAAACTGGGCTCAGAGAAGCCACTACTACAGGATTTGCAGTGCAGACAAAAGCCTCGAGGAGAGCCAGAATAGTCATCTCACCTAGCTTGTGTGTCTACATTTCAGCCAGGCATCCAAGCAACCTTCATAGTGGAGGTGCTTGCACATCCCAGATGATGAGCTCAGATGGCACCATCTCCCATGCAGACACTCTCTGCATCTCTCAGCTCACCCAGGTCGATGCCCTGGCCTTGGACCTACCCCTCATCCCGTGCCACTCACCCCTCCTCACCAGCTTCTCCTGCCTTCCAATGTGACTCGCGCGGGGCTCGCTCCTGAGCTAACAGGCACTGCCAACAAGAGCTGGCTCGGGAATATGGTTTCTCCTCCAGGAGAATAAGCAGACTATGGAAAACAGAGACCAGACTGCTGTCTATGCCTATAAAAAGCCTTCTATTTCTGGCATAATGTCACCTATGCTGGGCCTTTGCTGTTATGGCTCTGGGAATTAGGGTATGATGGTATAGTGGAAGCCAGGCGTCACCGTGAGCTAATGAGTTGGGCTACGCATGGTATGTGCACGGGGCAAACTCAGCCAGCTGGGTCATGGGCCAGCCAAAGGACTGCTGCTTCCAACGTGGACATGCTTATACCAGTGCTGCAGGAGCCACCCTGGTGCTGCGAGCTTTCTTTTCAACCGGGTAAGTCACCACAGAGCACGAGCTGGGTGCAGTCCAGCTCTTCTGCACACACTTGAGAATAAAATGCCCATCCTGCCTGCCTCCACAAACACACACCGCTGCTGCCGCTCTGCTGAGCAACAGGGAATAATCTTGTGTTCTCATGAGCAAACAACTGTTGTAGAAGATTTCAATTACAATCATGCGGAGTGACTGTGGCATCCGGATTTGCATAAATCTATTTAACCTCATAAAGCACTTGATTCAAAGCCCAGGGAAATCAATACAAAGTCTTGCATCTATATCATTTGCTTTGGGATCAGCCTTTTAGAGATCTCAGTGGCTTTGCTCTCAGTAATAAGAAAACTGTGCTTCTTCAAATGCATACGCAGGATCTGGCCCTTGTTGCTGTCTGCTCAGAGGAAATCAGAGACATTTATAAATGGAAAAAAGCTTCATGAAGGAATTTTTTGCACACTTACAGAATGAGACCCCCATTCCCCGTTGTCCGTCAGCTTCACCCACTTGTCTGCTGTGGACTCCATCTCTTTACACTGGTCATTTTGTATCTGTGAATAAAAACACAAGATCAGTGACCACAATCAGATGCATGTCTCTGTCAGCATAATGACCGCTGGCTGGGAATGATAAGATTCAGCTTTGTTCCTCTTGCCTACACATTGAGGACAGCAGCTGCCTTACTTGTGGCAAAAAAAAAAAAAAACCAACTCTCAAAACCTGCTAGCAGCTTAACAGTGCCTCCAATGACCGCCTCTGATGCAATGGGAAAAAAAGAGCAGGAGAAGATCTCAGCCTTGTCCTCTCACTATCTGGTCAGACTTGGATGCTGAGCATCTTGTCTTGGCTGCCTCCTCCTTCTCCTGAGCCCACCAAGACCCAGTTCTCTAAAATCCATGGGCTTCTAAGTCAGAAGGGAGGTAGGAGTGGATGGGCCAAAGCTAGAAGACAAACTGCTTTCTCTGCAGCCAATATCTGCTATGTCTTTGGCTCCACCTGACCTCACTAGGATGAGAGTAACATTATCAAGGGAGAGGCAACATGCCATGGAGAGTCTGCCCTGGCAGAAGTGTGAAGTTGGTTGTCCCTCGCCCAGGTCTAGCGCAGCTCAGCTTTGGTGCATGGCTTCACAGTGGTCCACTTCTTTCTTCTCAGAACTATCTTCTCTGAAGAAGTATTAAGTCCCTCTAAGGCACGAGTTCAATTATCAGCTTTTATTCCAGCAGGGAGAAAAGCTGGTTCAACACTTTCAGAAGACCTGGTGTCAAGCACCCTCCTCAAAGTTGCTCCACATCAAGTCTGAAATAAATTACATAAACCCACATCCTCTAAAGCATCTGTGCACTTAATTCCCACCTAGATCAATAGCACTGAGGAAAAGAGGTGAGAAGAAGCACCTAACTAGAAGGTAAATAGATCCCTAATTATCTTCTGCAAACTGAGCGACAGCATCTTTGTGCCTTAGTTCCCAATTGCAAAAAGGAGAGAAGAACATATACTCTCTTCTCACAAGGTGTAAAGGGCTTCAATATATAAAAAGAGTCTGGGAAGGGCAGGTTGCAGAAGCACTGGGTATCTAACAAGAAGCATCCACGCTTGCTTCCCAAGTTTGAGGACATCTCCTTGCTTACCCTCAGACCGGCAGTACAGCCACCTGCACCTGGAGACCCCAAAAATGTCACCATTTCCCAGCAATCTGCAAACCACTGCCACTGAAATGCCACTGTCGAGAGCTAAAGTGTCATTGTTAAATATATTTAAGCACAAAGACATGCTGGAGAAAAAGAATAGACTTTTAGAGGAGTGCTAAATATGGTTTCCCTGAAACACTGAGGCTGACTAGGAATTATTTACATGGGCATTTCTATAAAGGACTGCACGACTCACTGCTTCTTGAACAGGGACAGATAAATTTAAGGAGGTGAATAAGTGTGATATGGATAAAAGTAATAATCAAAAAGCCATTTTCAAAGCCAGTGCTCAGAGAAACAATATATTTGTTCCATTGCAGAAGCAGATCAGTCAGTCAGTCAAGAGACTGGAGCTCGGATTCATAATCCTGGTACATTCATCTGACAGCAGAAAACATATTTGCTGCTTTCTCCCTATGAAGAAGGCAGGATAGTCTAATATAAAACTGAACTGGCTAAATAATATTGCCTGCAGTGTCTGTTATCAAAGCACAACAGCAATCTATTGCACTGATGTAGCAGTAAGCAGGTGCCTCCAACAGGGTATTTTTGTCTTCCTTTCCCATCTCTACTAAGGATAAGGATACTTTTCTCCAAGCTTCAAGAAACTTTAACCAACACCAGCTAAGACTTCTCACTCCTGTGAGATACCATGAGCTGTGTTTTTTTGGATGAAAACCAGAGCTCACCAGACAGATACAGAGGCAGTAACAGAGGAGACTGAAAAATTCCCGTCATCTCCTGCTCTGAGTTACCCTCTCATTATGGTTTTTTCTGTCCCAAATGGCAGGTACAACATGCCAAGGAAAGCAATGCAGGTGTTGGTGGAACCTTCCAAAGCATCTCAGTGATGTGAGGCATCTATACCACATAGTGGAGCTTGGTGCTGGGAACCCTCCAGCTCCCTGGACACCAACCAGTCCATCCACATGGGCAGAGCAGGGTTGCCTTTCCCATTCTGGTCACTGCTGATCAGATTGTTTTATTAATTTGGGTACAGTGTGGTGCAAGCCCAGCCAGGCTGCTCCCATTTCAGAGCTAATGATCACCAGCCCCTCCATTTCACAGTGCGGATGCATCCTCAGAGCCTAATTCCTATTGAAAGTCACCTAAATTTTTTACTCCTAAATCTCTTTGGAGAACTGTTGTTTCTGCCTTTTTCTTTTGTTTTTGTTTGTTTGGTTTGGTTTTTTTAAGGGTCACCCTTTTGTCTCTTCTCCTGCTTTCTTTTCATCTTAATTGCTATGACCCCAATTGACCTAAAACTAAAGCTAAGGTTTCCACATACTAATGTCCTGGAGCACCTCAGGTTCTGGATGCCTACCTTGGAAGAAGTCTTTTTAAACATCAAGTCCCTTCAAAGGCATCTCAAGTCAAACTCCCCCAGACTGAAGCATCTACCACCAACAACTGTCTCGTAAAAGGCTGGACTAACAGGGGCAGTCATGACCCCTCATGGAAAAATCCCAGTGCATGATAGATAGGATTAGTTTAGCCTGAGTTTTGAAGCTGAAATAAATGCCAAAAGGCAGCACAAGTGACAGAAAGAGAAGAAGATTTTTTTTTTATCTTGTTCAGCAATAACAAGCTATGGACATATGGGGAGTGTAAAGGGAGGAAAAAGCTGTTTCTGATGCTCTTTATCTGCATTGAATTCTTACAATATAAGGTTGGATTCACCATAAAAAAGGCCTTACAAAAAATTCAAAGAAGATGTTGTTGTCAATATACTGGTATTCGAAGAAGACAGAACCGGATTTCTTCAGGTGCACAGCATAGATGAGAGAAACTGTACAATCATCCCTGTTCGACTCTATGTAATTCCCTCGAGGTGTCCACGAAGAGCTGATGAACATAAACAAAACAAGCCTCAGCTGAAATCACAGACACTGAGGAGACTTTTCTTACACTACTATACAAAAACATGTTGCTTAATAAAGGACCCAGAATCCCACAATAGCTAACTGCAGTGAATTTATAACTTTATTACTAGATTCCCATTTATTTTTCATGTAAATATAATACTTTTCAGTATAATCATGCATGGGAAAGGATATGGCATTAGAAATTTAGGACCCAGCCTACACAGGAAAGGTTTATTATCCATAGGTTCAATATACTTTCAATTATACTCAGCAACAGCCTTCTGCAACCACCACAGCTCTCTAAATAGGCTGTGAAAGTACCTTTTAGCCACATTTACTACACCGTGACCCTGGAGCTTTCCAGTTACAAATAAGAGCAGGTCCAGGCTAGTCTTAGACTCACTAGCTGCTGATGAGCCCAAGGAGACCATGATGACAGCAAAGAGATGGGTACAAAATTTCACTTCCCAGCCATTCTTGTTTGCCATTAGTAGGGCTTGTTACCCTCTGGAGAGCTTAGATAAGTCATTAAGCTGCCTTTGTGCTGCTGAGCTGTCTCAGGTTTACCAATGGCTGCGTAACCCAGATGCAGACAGAACTTCTTACTTGTTGCAGCTGTCAGCTTTATTCTCAGTTGAACCCACCGCCGTGTCCATGAAAGTCGCCACATTGGAGAATCCTGCTGGCAGCTCATCCCACTCGTCAAACTTAATCCCGCTGCCCAGCGAGTAGGTCCCCTCCGCACATTTGCTGCACACCTGGTTCTTCATCTCCAGGTACTCACCAGAGGCACAGGAGAAAGCTGGGGAGACAATCGTTTCCAACGTATTAATGGAGAAATTAATCCCAAATAATTTCCATTAGGTTTTTGGTGCCTAATTAATTAAGAGCGAATTCCCGCTAAAGGGAACCAAACAGGAATGCCCCAGTCCCAGGAACACATCAGCTGAACTACCAACATTGGCTGCGAAACTGAAATGTTCACCAGTGCCTATTTTTTCACTGATGTGGCAGCACTGAAACCAAATCTCAAATGACAGCTCCTGCTTTGCAGCTTGTCTCCGTTGGCAAAACAAGATTCTTAGAAACAAAATCTCTACCCATAGACTTGTGTCCAAAAGCAATTTGTGAAAATAAGGACTTGTAATACAGTTCTCCTCACCCATCTGTTACACTTTCAATTAAAATCACCAGCACCTGAGAGCCAGAGCAGACTTGTCTCACCCACCTGTATGGTAGCTAAGAAGAGTGTACAGCAGCACGCTGATGGTAATATAACACTACAAACCTTGGCTGAGAGTTGCAGACCTAATCCAAGGGTTTCTCCACATTTTTCCTCACACAGGCTGCCTCAAAGCCTTGAACATCTTGCCTGATAGACCAGGTGGTCTTGGAAAAGGGGGCCTGGGTCTTGTAAATGAGGATCTTTGACAGGGGTGATATTAGCATGCTGAGAAAATAAACACTGGGTGCCAGCACACAAAAGACGGTACTTAAATGTATGTAACTAGGGGAAGTATAATTTAGAAGGAATGTTCACAAAGTGCTTTTTTTACTGATGTCTCTAAAATTACTCACTCCAAGTAACTATATGTCCCTTGTTCCAGTCTGATCACATCTCTGTCTGCTAAGGGAAGAATATTCACATTATATAGAGGAAACCTGGACAGCAGCTGAAGTCCTGTATGGCCATAGAGCCCCGTGTCTGTGCTGGGAATCATAACTCCTGCATGAATGCTCATTTCAACAGCAGACCATCCCGTTTTCCACCAGCCCCATGCTGTACCATGTCCTCTCTGAGACTTAACACCCTGGATGGAAAACAGATGAGCGCTTTCTGCAGAACATAGTATTTCCTATGTTGCTTGCAGATTTTTAAAATTAACTGTGCTGGTCTAGTCAAAGCAGGATTCAGAGCAATGAACACAACTCGCACCCCAAGAAATGGTGGGATTTTTTACTGTTTCACGCGTGCCACGTTGTGCAGTGACAGATATTTCATACACTCACTTTGAGAGACATAAATTCACTAGTCTGAGAAACTGTAGGACAAGACCAGACTGCTAGCCAAAGTGGTGAAACTGGCCCAAAACAACTGATGCCTGCTGAAGTCCCAGCATATGCACTTTTATAGACGTGCTGATGTTTATCTAACTGCAGAAAAACTTGTTTGACTGTGAGTTCTTTGATAAAGACTCCAACTGCAGTTCTGACTCCCATTTCTGTGCCAGATCCTGCAGCATTTCCCTATGTAATTGTCCCTTGATGGGCAGCACTGGGATGCAGATAAAATGTCTATTTCAATGGAAAGATCTGCCAAAGTGTCATTTTTCCCTCTTGGTCATATCTGCATACTCTGAATTTGAACCAGCGGACTTCAAATCAACAAATCTGTTTTTCTAACCCCATCACTCACTGGTGGTAGACCAAGAAGGAAAGTGGGCAGGAGCCTAGCAGAGATGAGTGCTGGGGTGGGTACATAGAAGGAAATTCTGCTGCAACGGATTTCTGTGAAAGACTGACAGACAGGCAAAAAAATCCACCCTCAGTGGGAGCAAGTGGTTTTATGTAGGCAGTAGCACATGATACAGCAGTACAGCTAACATCCCATCTGACTAATTCTGCGACTTCAGCCCAAGCCATAGGATGTACCTACAGCTGGGGTTGGAAACACAGCTTTCTTCAGAGACCCGGAGAAGAGTAGCAAGCACTTCCCTATGTGTCTGAACTGAGACCACAGCTTGAACATGTGTAAAGGTGTTCTGACTCACTGCTTTAGCATTATTAATAAATCCAGCTTTATTTTTTTCTTTTGAAGGGTGCAGAGAGAAGCCGTCAGGAAGGGAAGTAAAAAAGCAAGCTGTCATAATATATTCGAATCCTTTAACAGTTTCAACATTTTTTTTTAAGAAAGTTAAATAGCAAGAAATGGAGACTGCTGCTTAACCATGTTCCAGATTTGTGAACTTCGAATAAGGAGTCAGTAACTGTGAGCGATTCACTGCCATAATGAAGACACAGAAGGCAGCAGAGCCTCCTCTTCAATTGCAGTGAGGTTGAGCAGAGATTATTGCTTTAACCCAACTAATATCTTTTAACTCCTTGGAGCCTGATCATTTTAGAAGAAAAAAAGGGTATAAGAGATCAGGCAGGCTGCCACACAGGACACCACCATCCATCACTCACCTTCCAAGAGAGAGATGACCTTTTTCCTTATTTAGGTGGGGAATTACCTTCTTTCCCTTTTCTAAGAATCGTATTTCAAAGGCAGCCGCATTTCCCGTCAAAACACATACGTCTGCAAGCAAACTAGCTCTGAGCATGCCAGCTGCTTGCCTCGTTCAATTTGGGGCTGAACGTGGCTAATGGCAACAGGAACCACTCTCAACGTTGGAACAGATGCATCATCTGGTCTCGTTCCAGGTGGTTGGGAGTGGCTGGAGGGGGATGGGGAGGAATCACGGCGTGTGATGAGCACAAAGACGGTCTCCTCTCCTAGCGTCACACAACTTGCTCTTCCAGCGAGGGGGAAGACCAAAAGCCAGGCCAAACCCTCTTTAATCTAAGCAGCATTAATTCAGGAGCCTGTCCCAGCTGGAGACGGGCAGGTTGTGGCCGTGCCTGGAGGGACCCCGCAGAGCAGATGTCCCCTGCAATGGGCCAGGAGGCACTTGTGGGGGGACGGGGCACAGACAGATGATCCGTCCCAGGGCACTGGCGCTTCGCCTTGCTTCTGGCTGCTCCTTCGCACTGAGACGTGGCTGAGCACAGATCCAGCACTGACCAGCGGCCGCTTGTTCACGGAAACGGTTGACATTACTGCAGCACCTGGCTCAGAGGTAGCCTTTGTGAACGCCATCTCCCCCTGACCCCAGAGCCCATTTATTTAAGCATATGATACTTAATTTTTTGAGAAAATGTCTCTGTTGAATAACTCCTTACATGTCTACCCTGTTTCAGAAAGCAGAACTAAGGCTGCTAAATCAGGTAGGCAGTTCTGAAAATCTTTTCCAGAATCAACACTATTGATCCTGTTTGGACATCACTATTCCTCTCCCTTTCAGCTGCAAACTTTCCTATTATACCTTTCAAATACCAGTTTGGGTGCTACACACCAACTTACAGAGAGCAACGCACATTGTGAAGACTGAATTTGATCTTCTGTCTGTGAAAAAAACTGTGAAACGCACTAAAATGTTTCATGACTTGCCCCATCATGGGCATTTTTAAAACTGCGAGAACATTGTCAGAGGCAGTTAGGAACAGCACGACATACTGTGGTGCTTAACACACTAATGCCTTCAGTAGCTCCAGTGAAGCCAATGCAATTATTGGTGATTTGCAGCTGTAGCTTTCTTAAAATAAATACAGAAGAAAAAAAAAGTTGTGGTTTGTATAAGCAACCAGTCTTGGTCACAAAAGATGCTGTAAAGTACTGTTAGACAGACACTGCCACAGGCAGGGACACACATTCATACATGCATGCAATAAAGCTGACACCAGATTCACTTCATAAAAAATTAACAAAGGCTATAGTACTAATACCCACTAAAACCATTGTATAAGTCTTGTCAAACAGACCTCATTTCATTCTTTAAAAGGATTACAAGTCACTTGATAAAGGTGACTGAGTGGATGTAATAGACTTAGGGTTTCTAATACAGTTAACTTAGTTTTGCATGTCATTCTGATGAAGAAGGTAGTACCACACAATACCAGTAAGGCACATCTTAAATGGATTAAGAACGGCCTGAGTAACAGATCTCAGACAGGGCTGTCAGTGGGAAACCATCACTGGGCAGGGAGGGAGGGGGCAGTTCTGCTTGCCCCAGGACGGAGTCTGATGGCTCTCCACATTTTTATCAATGATCTGCAGGCAAACAGAAAAGGAACGCTATTAAAATTGGCGGGTGAGAGACTGTTGTCAAGCCTGAGCCCACTCGAAGTCAGTGTTTTAAGAGAGTCAAAGGTAAAGACAAGCCACTGAAGGCAAGGAGTGCTGGCCCTGCCTGCAGAAGGCTGAAATGTATCCTGGAGAGCAGCAAGCCTGAGGGTTGCAGTGGACTCACCGTTCATCAAGAGCTTCCACTGTCAAAACATGCAAAAAAGGTGCTAATGAGATCTGCGGATGTATTTAGAGGTGGAGGTAGACATGTGTAGGGTAGGATGAAACGTGTGTATTACAGGCAAGAAGATTGTTCTAATACTGAATATAGTTGCGATCTGGCATTTTTAAGAAGTCAATGCAAAACAAAAGGACTTTAAATGATTTTAAAATTAGGGGTAATGTCTTGCAGTGAGAGATCTGAAGTGCTTAGTCTGTTTAGTTTGTCAAAAGAAGATTGAGAGTCAATTTGATTAATGCATAAGCATTTCCAAGGGCAGAAAACACAGGATCCCACTTGACTCTTTAATCAAGCAGAGAACTGCATAAGAAGACTTACCTCCTGGAAGCTGAACCCAGACAAATTCAAATTGGAAATAAGGCACTCATTTTTAATAGGAAGAATGACTGATTGCTGGAACAATCTGCATGGCATGTGATGGACCCTTTGTCTCTCAAGTGCTTCGTACCGTAACTGGACACCATATGGAAGAAAAGCTCACGCCAAACACAAATTATCAGCCTCAGCATCAGCCTAACTGGATGCATTTTTAATGGCCTGTGAGGTCAAACTAGTGAATTGTTTTGGGGTTTCTGCAGCGGGGTTTTGGGAGCGGGGGAGGGGGCTACAGGGCCGGCTCCTGTGAGAAGCTGCTGGAAGCTTCCCCGGCTCCAAGTCGGACCCACCTCTGGCCCAG